GTGGGTGGAGTTACATACACGGATGGAGTTGTAGGATGACTTGTGGATGGAGTTACATACAGTTGTAGGATGACTTGTGGGTGGAGTTACAAAGACAGTGGACTTGTCGATATGACTTGTGGGTGGAGTTACATTGACAGTGGCGTGTAGATATGACTTGTGGGTGGAGTTACATAGACAGTGGCGTGTAGATATGACTTGTGGGTGGAGTTACATACACAGTGGAGTTGTAGGATGACTTGTGGGTGGAGTTACAAAGACAGTGGACTTGTCGATATGACTTGTGGGTGGAGTTACATTGACAGTGGCGTATAGATATGACTTGTGAGTGGAGTTGCATAGACAGTGGCGTGTAGATATGACTTGTGGGTGGAGTTACATAGACAGTGGCGTATAAATATGACTTGTGGGTGGAGTTACATAGACAGTGGCGTATAGATATGACTTGTGAGTGGAGTTGCATAGACAGTGGCGTGTAGATATGACTTGTGGGTGGAGTTACATAGACAGTGGCGTGTAGATATGACTTGTGGGTGGAGTTACATACACAGTGGAGTTGTAGGATGACTTGTGGGTGGAGTTACAAAGACAGTGGACTTGTCGATATGACTTGTGAGTGGAGTTACATAGACAGTGGCGTATAGATATGACTTGTGAGTGGAGTTGCATAGACAGTGGCGTGTAGATATGACTTGTGAGTGGAGTTACATACACAGTGGACTTGTCGATATGACTTGTGGGTGAGTTACAAAGACAGTGGCATGTAGATTTGACTTGTGGGTGGAGTTACATAGACAGCGGAGTTGCAGGTATGACTTGTCGATGGAGCTTAAACCAACTGGAGCGTTGTAAGGCTGACATTTTGGGGGGATTTGTGTAGATGAGAGCACTGTCGTAGAAAAAATGGTGTCTGTAACAGGCAGACATTTAGCTTAAAATCAGCAAAGAATTTTATAAATCGTGAGCTAACATACTTATTCCAGTCTTCAAGCAACTGACTGTTTGTGATGTTTTCTCTATGTCTGTGTTTATATGTCTGCTGAAGGAAGATGGGAGGTTGGTCGGCGCTACCAGTATGTCCTACTTGTTTTATTTTCTCTCCTGTTTCTCATGTATGTCCTTCTCTCTCTGTGTTGTTTCTGTCTGTCTTCCTTACTTTTCTAGCTCACAAAGTTACATTTATTTTATCGATGTTTTTCTCTTTGCTCAAACAGAAAGAAGGAAATGCATTGAAGCGTCAACACCAGGAACTTTTGGAGGAGCACGCTCGATCTGCTGCCCTGTCCTTGACTCCGGCATCCACTGCGATCTCGACCTCAGGAGGCAGAGATGGGAACAGTTCCACTCTCGATTGGTCGAACTCATCAGGTCACGTGGCCGACTTTGCTTCTTTTGGTAAGTATTTCTGTGACTGATGTCCCCTTATCCTGTGTGTCTTTCTCTCTGACTTGTATTTATTTGTCCTGAATGTCTGTTAAGGATATCCTTGTCTCTGATGTTCCTGAAGCCTCATATTTAGTGTGCGACATAATTGCCTCTAACTGATGTCTTATAGATCTGTGTTTACGATGTCATTGTCTCTTACAGATGTCGACTAGTTCTGTGCGTCATCTAATGGTATCTGATATTTTCTCCTACGAACATAGCTTTGTCCTGTTTGTCTGTTTATATCATGCTCCCCAACCCGTAGATGGTTGGTGGGTGGTTGGCGGGTGCTCTGGTGTGGTTTGCTTCTTGTTTCCTACCAAATATCTATTGTCTTTGTCTCCCCTTTTTCTTTTTTATGTTTGTTACTCTTTTGTAACACCTTTAATCTTCCGGTGCTCATATGACCTTATGCTGTTGCGAGCGCCGTAAACCTCTACTAAAAAACTAAAACAGTAGATGGTTGGTAGGTATTACGTTGTGTTTTTTTCCCTTCTTTTCAATCAAACATCTTTCGCCCTTATCTCTCTTCCTTCGTTTCTATATATGTTACTGTCTCGAAGCACCTCTAATCTTCAGCACTTATATGACCTTTTTTTATATAACAAGTGGCTTTAAACTTTTTCTAAAATTATGACGAAAAATGCTGCCCAGCAAAAGTCACCAGTCTCTGTTGTATTAATTTGTGTGTTGGGACAGACCTCTCCCCCAGAAATAGACACACACACACACACACACACACACACACACACACACACACACACACACAGTGGGTGGTTGGCGGGTGCTCTGGTGTGGTTTGTTCCTTCTTTCCTATCAAACATCTATCATCTTTATCTCCCCTTCTTTTTTTAATGTTTGTTATTCTCTTGTAACACCTCTATTCTTCTGGCGCTCATATGACCTTATGCAGTTGCGAGTGCCGTAAAACCTCTACAAAAACTAAAAACACACACACACAACCCCACCCTATCCCACACTTCTAGCACCCCTGTGTACACAAGTCACTCACTTTTGTCTCTCATACTGGCTACCTTCTCTATGGTTTGTTCTCCACCTTGTCCTTTTCGCACTTGTCTGTCAAAAAATGGCAGAAGCTATATGTACTGAATAATCGTTGTTCAAAACGTTTTTTATCATTGGCCAGCTGATCATAGGTGCTACACCCAAAATGTTGAAATGTTTTGTAGAAAGTCAAATTCTAAATTTTGACCAAGAAGGTACATACTGTAGGTACACCTGTTAAAAGAATGAATAAGTTTTCTACCTTCTTCCGAAGAATTTTGCTCTCTGAGCATAGAACAGTTGAACAAACATTTGACAATGATGTGAAAATCCTAGATATCTCATTGTCAAATTGTCAATTAAGTGAAATAATGGTGTTGAAGTTTTAGTCTTAACGCTATACATTTACATGTATGTTTTCATATGTTTGTGCTTTATGCCGCTCCCATTGTTTTCACACCAAATATTAGTGTGACAATTGTCTCCATATGAAATGGCAAAAGATTTTAACACTTTTTGGTTTCAATGTTTGGCTTTCCCATAAGAGTTATAAACAAAAATGAACCATTTGGGCAAAAATGAAAAGGGGAGTGAGTATAGTTTGTTTTGTAGTTTAGAAAATTTGACTCCTTAAAAATACACGTGCATGCACAATTGCTTCATATTAAATCCCTTGGGAAATGTTAGCGTTCTTATAGCATCGAGTCATAAGTATGTCTTTCTATTAAACTGTTCAATATGTGTATGTGTGGAATGTATGTATGTATGTGCGTGTGTGTGTTTGTGTGTGTGTGTGTGTGTGTGTGTGTGTGTGTGTGTGTGTGTGTGTGTGCACGTGTTTGTATGTGCGAAGCCCGTGTCCTGACCTATACAGAGATCCAGTGGGATTGTGTATGGATCTTATCAGTGAACGATGACATCCTGTTTGCTCAGTGGTCAGGGATTAAAACAGGAAAGAGAAGGGTGTGTTTGTTCTGTGTGAATGTAGAGCGCGGGTGTGTCGCGTTATCGCGCTCACTTATTTCTGCACACTGGAAATGATTTGTGGACGAATTGGAACCTGATCCCGTAGCACAGATCTGCATACACTCTCTCTCTACCATCCAGGCCTCGTGGTGTGTAGAAGGGGTGAGGGGTGGGTGGGGTGGGGGGATAAGGGTGTTGTCCTCGTTACTGCTACAG